GAGGGACAGAAATGTAACTGTACCATGCGGATTATGGTTAACGTGGCTGGGTAAACATCAAACAAATAGCACGGATTGCTATTCGTAATACGATAAGCGTTTTTTTGTTNGATAAGCGTTTTTTTGTTTGTATGAGTTGTGATCAATGGAAATCCGTAACGTCCCATTTGATTAATCCATGTCAGATAAATGTCTGTTGTTTGTAAAAAAAAATATCTGGAAATTCTTGCCCTTGATCTGAAGATCACCAGTCCCTAGGGAGCATTGATCCGCTTGAATTTGCGGGTAGAATGCATTCATCTTCTAACCGGATTTAGACTATCGATGTCTACGTAGTCTGACTCAGGTGGGATAGAGTGAACGGGTTGGTAACCTAGAATTAAATCGTCGCTATCGCATTGAATTAAGCTCAATATGCTTCGCTGGTTAGGACACGTTTTGTGGATGTCTAACTGTCGCTTACCGCACCACGCGTTATTTGCAGCGGCTGTTGCAGACTGGAGAAAGCCACGTGGAGACATGAGGCATGAAGAAATGCACAGAGCGAATAGGTAGAGTAGGTATCTCTCGTCTCCCGGGTTGTGGGGTTCGAAAGACTACGTAACTGGATGGCTAGAGACACGGACGGTCATGGCTACGAACTGACAGCAATCGTGATCTTTCCGACATGTCCGATCAGACCATAATGCTCGAAATATGTGTATTTATGCACAGTTGGACTATGCTCTCTTTGTGTTAATCATGGAGGTTCGCTCTGTTTACCCCGCCCCCTAAAAAATACGCCCAGTCCGTATTGTCCATACACATTCTCTCTTGCCTTATATCTATTGCGACTTTGACAGGGATTAGCGGAGTTCGCTTCTCACTGTATTACGCTGTACGAGGATGACGGTGATGATCCACTTTTCCGTGTTCTTTACTAAACTTAGTTTCGAATCGCCAGAAACAAAATCCGACGGATTTTTGTGAGAACCTCACCGAGACGCATTTGCACCGAAAACCGAATTTATACTACATGAGCAATCAAATGTCTTGAAATCTGTCCCCCCCCCACCCCAAATAGTGTTTGCCTGTCTCCTGTCTTCAGTTTGTGCGAACCTGTCTAGATACGGTCGTCCAATCTCTAATAACCTTGCTACTTGTTTTGTTTGAACATGGCTTCGATCCCAAGAATCAGCACCAATAACGCAATTTATCCGACCTGCTCTCCTCTCCCACCGCACACCCCCCCCCGTCACACTTCCATGTCCCTCCACCTGTTCGTCTAAATACGACCCGAACAACCGCAAAGGACATGAAACGAGGCATTCGAACCAGTTTCAACCAGTCCAAGGTGCTTAAAAAAACTGGAGAACTGTTCACTCTGCGGTCAGTCAATCCCAATTTCCAAAATTTTTGCACATGTATTCTATCCTGGCTCTGTGATTTTTCTTGCCTCTTTATTGTGTGATGATTTAATGATCACTCATGAGAACCATTAACATAAACCTCGTATTTGATTTAGCGAATAGCCTAAAGCCCATCCACCAGAGTGTACCGTGCTAGCTGATTTGTTCCAGTCAATTAGTTTATGATGAATTCATATATTATGTCCGCCTGTTTGGCCCTCTTCACGGCATCTTTCTCCGTTGTACTTCGGTCCAGACTCTCGCGTGTTCAGGTCTGTTTCATGTGAACCAATTGGTTTTCCTTTTAAAGTTTCTGATCCGCCTCAAATCCTACACTCAGGAAATGGTTCTTGCCTAACATATGTTTGGTACTTCATTGTCTAGCTAACTGTTTCTGTGTACACCAAAACGTTGTGTTGGTGGAGCAGTGGTTTAGTCGCTGTCACCGGCATGCTTTAGACCCCATGGTCCGAGGTTTGAACCCCGCCACCGCCACCGCCATCCGACTTTGGTGATAGGCAGCTATTCGGTCGTCTGGTTCAATACCACGCCTAANTCCGGGGCTTAGGTTGCTGTTTTCAACCACTGAACAGCAGGTCCTCGTGACTATGGGGTTTACCCCGTCTGCTGTTCATCACACCTAGGTGTGCATTAAAAATATGATATTTCAATGTGGAGAGAGTGGAAATAGGACAATAATTAGTCTCCTCAGTTTTTCCCTAAACGAGGGTCATACCCACCTGCCAAGTGGACGATCTTTAGCGGTATGTTAAGGTGAGGTTACCCAACACGAATGCACCGATGTTTGTCATTTCGNCATGATTTGTATTGTATTGTATTTGTAACTTTTGTAAGCATATATGCTTACATTTCAGTTAAAAATGTACATTGTTCGTCACGCAGAATGAAATAAAAATAATCAAAACAAAAGGTAAAGAAGGTCGGTGATATATGTTTCATGTGCAAAGCATTTGACGTAGTTCATTTGAGACCTGTTCCTTTTTGATGAGTAGTCGGGCCAGGTAGGGTACAGGGGAATTTTTATAAATGGTAATGCGAGGGGTAGCTGTCGAAATGAGGAGCGTGTGGACGGATGGGAACGACAAGACGATAGATCAGGGTGTGTTGGATGAAGAGGGTCGTCTAGGATCTTGTGAGCAAAGTTAAAACAAGAGTTGATGTGACTATCACTGAGATCTGTGATTAATAAATCAAATGGGATTAGTGATGCACGACTGATTATCACCAAGTGAAGCGATCGTTCGCATTCCGACCTGTTCCCTCACGGGTCCGTGTGATTCGGTGATGCAATCCTTTTTTATTGATACATCGATGTGTGATCAACAAGTGTAAACTCCATAGTCCTTTAGTATTTGCTATTTATTCATCGAAACCGGCAATCGCATAAGCCTCACCACTGGAATCGGTGAATCATTTGCGATTCCTCTCCCCCTGGCTTAGGTGCCGTATTGAGCAGTGGCAAAGTTTAAACCTCGGACTGTATGGCCCAAATTGTCTCAATGAAAACGGCCTAAACCATCTGACCAGTCCCAGTGGTCGTGAGTGTCAACATTCATTTATCTCATACATAGTCTTTTATCACCTCCCCCCGCCCTTCAATCCCTGATTTTACCCGCACATACACACACACACACATATACGGGCGAATGGACAGTCATCTGTTGAATGTGAGCACGTCGATGATCGAGACTCCGGACTTCTATTGGGACAGACCAGAGATCGAGGGATTACATGATCAACTTCGAGCGGTTCTCAGTATATCAGCCCGAACTCGAGTGAGTGGTGATCCAATCAATACATTTTCATTTCCCGTTACTTCTCTCGCTATCTGGTTCCCACGGTTCTTTACGGCTCTCACGCCACTTATCCGTGTCCCATAAGTCAAGATATGCAATGTTTGTCATTGGGTGACCGGGTGGTTGTGCGCATCGTGTGCGCACTAGTCCATTGAACTTCATGATGTACCAATAGGCTGTTTCGGTACTGTACATCCTAGTGGTTGACTGTTTAAGCGATCGGATCGCCGACCGGTTATCCGGTCACCGGTCTCTGTCTGTTCACCTCAATACGGAACTATTGATTGCGGTCAAGTGATATACGATATTTCGAGTACAGGTAGGTAATGAAAGATCGATCAATACACGATGTTGACAACCCCGAAACGACGGTCAAACTTAGACCGAATGGAACCAGCGAAATTGAGATACACTAATAGCTGCAAAACAGTGTCACATAGCATAAGAGGGAATATCAAGACGTTTATGAAAATCAGTAAAAGGGCTCATCAATGCACATCAGTTGCAAATTAAATTCGAAGGGATAAACTCTATCTATGACCAAAACACATACTTCACTTATGCGTGTTCAATCGAGAAGCACTCACGATAATTTAAGTTACCAACCGTTCGGTTAAATATTTTGAGGTATAGCTGAGTGGAAGCACAGAAACAAGAATTTGTGCCAGAATTGTGATGTTCCTGGAAAGAAGTATCGTTCTAATCCCGTA